ATCACAAAATCCCCAAACCAGAGATGTCGGCATGAATGTGGAGAAAAGGGAGCATGCGTTTTCTTTGTAATGATAACATTAATTCTTCAGTGAACTTGCTGGTAGCAGCTAAGAATTTAAAATTCCTACTATACAAGCACATGAATGCAAATCCACTAGAATGTCTTCGTCTTTCAAAAACCTTTAACAAACTAAATTTTTTAAAAAATCATCCATTCTACAACTGTTAGAAAATCAAAATGGTAATTAGAATGTATCTTGATTCATTTTTCATGGTGTTAGATTCCAATAACTCTTTACGGAGGCCCATTTTGTCAACTATGTAATTCCTGAGATCTCTTCACCTTGTTTGTAGTTTTACAGAGTGGATGATTCTTCTCTGAGTAGCTGACATAGTACTTCATTTTACCTTAAGAAAGAATTAAAAATCAAATTAGTCCTGAAAGTCCAGAGATCATTATTGAAACTACCTGTCCTTTGTTAACAGGTGCCCACAGCTTTGGTGTCTACCAAGAGGGCTTATATTTGTGTCTTTGTACTTTCATCAACATGAAAGCAAGCCTGCATCCTGATATTTTATATTTAAAAAGTGTTTATTACAAAAAGAAAAAAAAAAGAAATTGTTGATTACTTAAGTGTCTCTGTAAGATAATGGTTGTGTAAAAGTAGAAATGGAGATGAATACAGTGATAAGAAAAGAATTTCAAGCAAGAGAGTTGAAGATTTAGTAAAGTGTTTGTTATAAAAGATTAAGGAGCAGGATATGTTTTAAGCTGGTAAGAGGGAAATGATGATGGTATGTATGTACTGGAAAAGGAGAGTCAGGAATTAGAGACGCTGTCATTTGAGAGGAAACAACAATGCAGTTTCTCCCAACATTACAATACAAAGAAGGCTAACACCACATGTATTAGGATGAAATTCATGAAAGGAAAATACGGCTGGCTCTAGGGTAGGGTGACCAGACGTCCCGCTTTTGGTGTGACAGTCCCAATTTTTAACAATTTGTCCCACATCCCATAGCATTTTTAAAAAGTCCCGATTTTTGGAAGGAATGCACAAATGGGTGGGAAAACAGTAAGGGAATATATGGTTTTCGGCTGCCATGTGGCTATTTCATCAGGATATGAGTTTTATATTATTTTTGTTAATTTTATAATGTTAAACTGTAATAATAACAAATAATTGTTGAGAAGTGATTATCGAGAACTGCTTATCAAAGTTTGTATTGTTGTCAGGACCCCCCCCCCATCAATGGTGTCCTACTTTACCAATGTTAAAATCTGGTCACCTTACTCTAGGGTGCTATATAAATACTACTTGTTGGTAATAAAATACACCTACTAGCATTGTAAAAATACTTTCCATCTCTTCATGCCCATGTGCACCCATTGTTTAGTTCCCACTTATTAGTGAGAACATATGGAAATCAGAAGAAACTCAGAATGAACAGGCACACTAATACTTACATATTCATATTCCGATTAATGTAAACATTGGTTGTTTAATAAAAAGTTGCTATATCACTCAATATCATGTACGAGGATAAGGAAGATGGTAATTTTAAATTCACATCTACCATAAGAAATGGGTACATAATGTCTAAATTTGATTCAGCAAAAAATAAGCATAATTGTGTTATTTAGAAAAATAGAGCTAATTACGAGAAGAAATTGTTGTCAGTTTGACAGGTCCTACCTCTGGGAAGTTGAATGAATGAGTATGGAGAGGTTGGGGTGGGTGGGGTGGGAGGAAACATGGGAAGGCTGACGTTTTCATAGAAGCTGAGGAAACAATTTGACTTGAAACTATGGATAAGTGGATAAAAGTATTATTTAAGCTTTTTAAATAGCAAAAAATGAAAGTAGGATCAGAATAGAAAATGAAGAGAAGCAGTGATGAACTGAATCATAGAACACTGTATGTGGTTTGTATACCTAAATAAAAAAATTCTGAATTGGGGAAAAGGAAGTGAAAGTGTGCAATAGGAGCTAGATTCAGTAGAATACATGTGACACATGTGTGGGTGTGTGCATGCAATTGTGACACATGTGACTGTAATTATTTTTCCAAATAAAAAAATTAGCATGTACTGTCTTTCCTAAGATCTTACCCCAAATGACCTAATTCACCATGCTTGCCTGAGATGCCTGAGATGCCTGAGATGCCTAGCCAAATCCCTCTCATCATTCAAAGTATTCCAAGTTTAACATCTTCAGAATATTCTTTTCAATTTATGAGAAACTTGATGTTAATATCCTAATTTACACAGTCAATTCCATATTTCTTGCTCTTTTCTAGACAATAAAGCCAAAGAAGAAAGAAACATTCATCACTCAATACCTGGAGCAATTGATTTCAAAAACCCAAAGGATCCCACGATGATCAAAATCAAAACAATGAGGATAACAATAGGTCGAATATTTAATTGTGCTAATGTTATGGTACCTGTAAGCATAAACACACAAAATATATGGTTTACATGACTCAGTGCTAAAAACAAATGAACTACCAAGCCATGAAAAGACCTGGAGAGCCTTTAAATGCATGTTACTAAGGGAAAGAACCCAATTTGAAAAACCCAATTTGTTACTTACTGTGGGATTTCAACTATGTAACATTCTGGGAAAGGCAAAACTGGAAACAGACCACTGGTTGCCAGGAGTTAAGTGGAAGAGAGAGATGAATGTACAGAAGACAGCCTACAAGGGTGGATACTTGTCATTATATGTATCAAAACCCATAGAATATACAACAGCTATAGTGAAGCCTAAGGGAACTATGGTTTAGGATGACAATGATGTGTACCTTTATCAGTTACAACTAATGTAACACTGTTGCAGGGTGTACTTAGCTGGGAGATTAAGCTTGGGTAGAGGCAGGGGTTACATGGGAATGTTGTCTATTTTTCCCTCAATTTTGTTATAACTGTTCAAAAATTAAAATCTATTAAAAATAAATTATATATGTATATATATATGTACATACATGTATTTTTCAATGCTGTCCAGAGTAGGAACCATCAAATATATAAAAAGGGTATATAAGGTAAGGGGCAAGTGTGGGCTAAAGGTCAGGAGCTTCTTGAAAGGTACTTCCTGGAAGTCTTCCAAACAGGCATCCCAGACCTCTGTCAACCAGGACAGCATACTTCCTCAACCAGTAGAAAAAAAGGGAGACTGATCTAGTGAGGATCCAATGGACAGACTCCAGAGTCAAAGATCCCCACATCATGGACAGTGGAGATGACGGTGATATTGACTTTCAGGTTCTTGGTCTCAGTGATTTGATGAATGAAGCGATGGACCACAGGTTCAACAGTAGGTTAGGTTTTATTAGGTTTTATTCAACAGGTATTACAGCTCTCACAAAGAGCCAAAGCTTGCAGAGCAGGATCCGCAATAAGATAGGTTTTATAATACAAGTGTTACAGCTCTTACAAAGAGCCAAACCTCCTTGCAGAGCAGGATCAGCAATAATACAAGTGTTACAGCTCTTACAAAGAGCCAAACCTCCTTGCAGAGCAGGATCAGCAGTAATACAAGTGTTACGGCTCTCACAAAGAGCCAAACCTCCTTGCTCTCCTGCTCTTTCTCGGATGTCTGTGTTTGGGCTCTCTGCTTAGGGGCTTATACGGGGCAATGAGCTTTCAAGTCCTGAAAACAGACCAATCAGGAGCAGGTTTTGAAAACAGACCAATCAGGGATGCACTGGAGGAATTGACCTGCCAGAAGTCCATGTAAGGGGATGGCAAGGTGCCAGTGTTTTTCCCCCACTGGTGTCCAGCAGAATTCCTTCATTCCCTGCAATAGGTCCAGGGACAAAGTGGCCAGTCTTGCCACCTTGTCCGGTATCAAGGGGATAGACTCAAGATGTATTAAAGGAGTTCTCAACAGCGTGCTCACCTGCACACACACATACTCCTCTCTCCCAGAACACTGACAGTCAGGCTTCTCTCTCCCAGCCAACAGACTGGTAGGTTACTTTCTGCAAGAGCCTGAACTGACCCAGAAAAAAGGCCTTCAGATACATAACAAATCCTCATTTCAGTAAAAATCATTTATCTCCTTTTCACTATGTTCAAGTTAACTAGTTCACAAGACCCAGCTTCAGATAGGAGAGCTTCCAATCAGCTCTTTGGTGCTCACTTTGAAAAGAATCTATTGGCCAAGGATTACCAAAGACTTCAGAAAAGTCTCATAAATGAAGGAAAGAAATTAAACACACACACACATGTCTTTAAAGCAGAAGAAACTGAGATCAAACACGTCTAGAACTAAGCAGAGGATCGAGGCAAAAACAACGTCCAGGACAATTTGCTGCTCAGTGTGTCTGAGACCAACCAGGACAGAATAGGCCAAGAGCATGGAACAACTCCACGGAAGTGACATATTACCCAGTGGAACTAATCACATGGAAAACATAACAAAGGGGTTCTCAGGTTTGTGAATGTGCTTAGCGAGAAGTCACAAAAGGTACATACGTTTTGGAAGAAACAAAAAAAGTAGAAGAATTATGAAATCCAAGAAAAACAAAAGTTATTCAAAAGAGAAAGCGTAAATTTATTTATTCCCTGATTTAGCACTTAATAATACTTACATATCTAAATTAATGTGAACACCGGCTGTTTAATCTTATAAAAATGGGAATGTCACTCAATACCATGTCTGAGCATACGGAAGAAGGTACTTTTGAATCTACATCACTATAAGAAGTGGGTACATAGTATCTAAATTTCATATAGTAAGAAATAAGCAGGAGCATGTTATTTAGAAAAATAGAACGAATTGCTAGAAGAAATGCTTGTCAGTTTGACAGGACCTGCCTCTAGGAAGATGAATGAGTGAATATGGAGAGATAGGGTGGGGAAAGCATGGGTAGAGCTGATGTTTTCAGACTCTGATGAAACAATTTGACTTTCAACTATGTATATGTGGATCAAATGAATGTGTAAGCTTTCTAAATACCAAGATATGAAAGTTGGATCAGAGTAGAGAATGAAGATTAGAAGCAATGATGAACTCAATCATAGATGTTACTTAAGTCAGTGAAGAAATTCCCCCAGAAAGAGCCTGGAGGAGAAAAGTCTGGCAATCTAAAAGTGCAGGAAGGCAAAGTCTGAGTGCCTTTATTCTTCTGGCAAAGCCTTAAGTACTTGTTTCAAATTATACTTTATCTTTCCATTAACCCTAAGGATTCTTTCAAAAGTATGCTATCAATGCCAATTAACTGACAGTATAGAAGTGAATATTAAAATGTAGAATAAGGTACATTCCAAAATAAGGCTTTTTACCACAAATTAATGTATTTTTCTTTTATATATATCTCTTTTTTATGGGTAAAAGGGAGATAAAGTAGAGGGTAGAGAAATCATCCTCAAACAAAATTTCTCTGCACGTTCTGTTTCCTTCTAACTCCTCAGAAAGAATGAAAAAATAAAAAAAAACTAGATTTACTAACCAGAAGGCAGCTTTTTGCACAGACTCTTGTTACCAGTCAAATGGGAGACAGAGCAGGTCACAGTAGTCACATTGAGGTCCTCCCAGGCACATGTACTCTGGACAGTCACTGTGCCATTGGCCAAACAGTCTTCCTTAGTGTCACAATCATCCCTCTCTGGGGTCCAGGAGATGCGTGCAACTGGCTTCCCTGCTACTGCCTTGCACACCGCAGTTCTATTCCTGCTTAGAAACAGGGTCACTTCAGGGGGAACTGCAGAGATGGAAGGAAAAATGCTTCAGTCTTAATGTAAGGGATGTGGAATCTGGAGAGACATTTGTTTTAGTCACAAATGTGGTGATGTGAAATACACTGTATGTGGTGTTCCTTACCTAATACTTGGAGGTGATATCCATGCCAGAAAGTCCCATCAGGTGAAGTTATTGTACATTTGTAATACCCATCATGAGAGATGGCCACTGGACCAATTTGAAGGTCAGGATTCTCCTCAGGTCTGGAGACCCAGGCTATTCTGTCATCAGTACAGTTGATTTCCCTGGTCTCATCTGCATCACTCCTATATGCTTTTGTACAGGAAGGCTTGTCTCTGAGGATTATTTCCCATGTTGTTGATATTCTTGTCAATGGGGGGGGTATGAGGGCAGTGGAGCACAGCCATGGTATCCATCACCACAGACACTGAAGTGTTAACTAAACATACATACACACAGCAAAGGGGAATGATAAAAGAAGATCTGGGTAAAGAACTTCACGTGTTAAATTAATCAACAGCATACTACATGAACTTGTACTACATACTAAATTTGTCTGTGTTCATGTTCCAGAAGTATTACACTTACATAAGAAATTAACATTTAAAACTATAGTGTATTAAACCCAATTGAGAAATTAAAGATTTTTCTCCTGTATTATACACTATTAAAAAACCAGTCTCATGAAGTATTTTGAAACTACTTCAGGAGTTTTAATATCTAGTAACAACGAAACAAGAAAAAAGACTTAAATAGGAAAGGCAATATTCTGAATCTAATCTTATGATGGAAGACACTATTACATCTATCACACAATTCATGAAATAATTTCTAGTGTGCTTTTTTCTCCTAAGGCTTGAGCACAAAAATATCAGTAACATCAGAACTAAATGTCTTTCCCTATGGTTATTTTAGATAAACAGAAATGTGGGAAGTATATGTTTCTTTCATTAAAAGTAAATAACATGGCATTCAGGGAGAGCTAGCTGGATATTGTAGAATTTATTTTTTATTCTAAAAAATCACAAAGTCAAGGATATCCACAGACCTTTTATAACATCTGTAATTTCACCAGGTAAGACATCACACAAAAATGAAAAATGATAGCCAGGTGCAGTGGCTCATGCCTATAATCATAGCACTCTGAGAGACTGAAGCTGGAGGATCACTTGAGGTCATGAGTTCAAGACCAGCAAGACCAAGACCTGTCTCTACTAACTATAGAATAATTAGCCAGGCATTGTGGCCAGTGGGAGGCTGAGGCAAAAGGATCACTTGAGCCCAGGAGTTTGAGGTTCCTATTAGGCTGATGCCACAGCACTCTACCCAGGGTAACAAAGACAGACTCTGTCTCAAAAAAAAAGAAAGAAAGAAAGAAAGAAAAGTAAAATAAAAGCTAATGGTGCACACTGATGGGATGCTTAGAAATATTTATTTCTGGTGAAAAAATAGTTTAGTCCAAGGGAGATTCCTGTGGCTCAAAGGAGTAGGGCACCGACCCCATATGCTGGAGGTGGCAGGTTCAAAGCCAGCCTGGGCCAAAAACTGCAAAAAATTAAAAAAAAAGTTTAGTCCATAATTGAGAAACAAACCCAGATTTGCTTTCCTCTGGACATTTTCCACAAAAAAAGATTTTATTGAAAATGTTTGACATTATGAAATATAGCTTGTGGAAGAGTTTTCCTTCCTTTCTTGTTAGTCACACACATACCCCCAGACAGTTTAGCTGTGAACCTTGCTTGCAGATTTTGTGTTTGTATGTTCAATATAATTGTCAGAAGTAAATATAGAAGCTGACCTCTTTTGTTCATCTTTTAAGGTAAAAATTAAGCCTGGGTCCTATAAGCATCTTCTAACATAGAACCTCAGGCTTCCCATAAACCAACACAATGTGTCCACGACTGATAGCAGCCTACTGAGAAATGATAGCATCTGTCATCTGCAATAGGGGCAAGTGTCAGTGATGGAATTACTGTGACCTGAGCTGGACCAGCTACGGTGGGACATTTGTGTTTATGTAAACAAAACAAGTTTTTGCTAAGCCTTTCTCTTCTCTCTTATTTTTGTGTCATCTGTCTCTCTGTGGCACTGAAGCCAGGTATTTCATGGTCCAATAACAATCACATAACTAGATGAAGAAAGAGGCAGGACTTTCACACAGAGCTGAGAGGCTGTTAAATCCATTCTCTTTTCACCACCACAACTTAGCAAAGCTTCAGACAAGCAAGAACGTGGCTTGTTTGGGAACAACTGGAAAGTTCCTCAGCTCACAGTGCTCAGATCACCATATTCTTCACATAGTTACAAGGCATCCCCCCAGCCAGGGTATCAGCTAATGTTTCCACAAAGTTCAACCTTCCATCACCCTGGTACTGGCCATTGCAAAAGGAAGCATGTTACCTTCTGAGAGGGGTACTGAAGAGTTCTGTATCATCTGATTTCCATCCATATCTGAACTATTTGAAGCTAGAAAATATAGAGAGAAAGACAATGAAACCAAGTTTATGTGGAAGCCACTATCTCACATAGTCTTATTCAATAGAATAGACAACCAGTTAAGCATAACAAAAATTATGCAGCACTCATGGAAAATAGAAATTATATGTTATACCATCATTGGCTTATGTGAAACCAAGTTTAGTGGAAGCCACTATCTCACATAGTCTTATTCAATAGAACAGACAATCAGTTAAGCATAACAAAAATTATGCAGCACTCATGGAAAATAGAAATTATAAGTTATACCATCATTGAGAGGAATGTCATGTTAACATCTTGTAAATTACATTTATAGGTTATTAATCAATGACTTGCCATCCCATTGATAAGACACCTCATAATGTTGACCATTTTTTTAATAAGGTCCTCCACTTCTTCCTCCTTCCCCAACCAAGTGAATGGTCTGATATGGACATCTCACATGAATTGGTCCAGTTACACTCCTTTTTCTAGATGTCACCCTCTACCCCCTAATTAAATTTGTTTGGTCTAATGGTGGGCACCTCACCCAGATGGACAAAACAGAGCCCTTTCTCAAGAATCTCAGAAGCATAATTCAGAAGGATTCATCCATCCTTCTTCCATTCTCATTTACCCTGCTTTGTAAGAGTGAAAAATGAAATATAGAATTAAAGCAGATGTTAGAAAACTGGCTTACTAGA